TGGTTTTAACATCCGCTAAGAGGGTGAGTGATTTATCTGCCCTCTCTGTCGCTCCGTCATGTCTCAGAATTCAGGCTGACGGTAGTTCAGCTGATTTAAGACCAAACCCAGCTTTTATGCCTAAAATCATCACGAGCTCTTTTAAATCAAGAGCGATATCGTTGGAGGGGTTCCCCCCCCCCCTACAGATCAGAAGAAGAAGCATCTTTTCATCTTCTCTGTCCGGTGCGGGCGTTGACGTGTTACATAGCGCGCACAGCTGTAATGCGTCAAACTCAACCTGTTTGTGCATTATAGAGATGCATCTGCAGGTCGCCCGTTATCCACCCAGCTCTTGTCACACTGGCTGTGTGAGGCCATTTCTGATTCCTACAAGCATCAGATTTAAAGCCTCCTGTCAACCTCAAAGCACACTCGACCAGGGGTATCGCATCTTCGACTGCTCTGCATAATGGTATGTCGATGCAGGACATTTGCACTGCGGCTGCGTGGTCAACACCCTGCTCATTCATTCGCTTTATTTACATAATGTGACGGCTCGTTCCATGACACATTCTGTCCTTAGTGCTCTAACAGAATGAATATTGTTGTTTTTCATGGAACTCTGTTTAAGCTCACACCTGTCTGCATGCATTATAGTGTGAGATGTTGTTATCAGTCACAAGTTGTGTCTGTGATTTTGGTTCTATTGTCATTAATCAGTTCATGACTATTGTTACCAATCAGTTCATTTGATCAATAATCAGTTCATTGTTATTGATCTGTTTATACTGTTCAGCCATGAACCAGTTGGTTCATGCCCCCCCCCCCCCCTCTTCTTTTCAATATCCTCTTCCCGTTGAAAATTTCCGGGGCGTTCATGTTTTTGTCAGAACACATAGTTACACAACATGCGTCTGTGCATGGCACATAATTACGCAACGCGTAGTTATGCACGTGGGAAGCTGAGTGCAAAGACGTTTTTTTTGGGGTAAGCTTCCGCTTCATACTGTGTTCGAATGGACCCAGTGAGGCGAGGACCACATCCGCTTCGCCCTTAACCCATCAGCGACAGCCTTAAAGGGTGAAGCTTATACGACAGAACGTTGGTTACGTACTGTAACCCCAGATTCTATGAGTATAAGCGTAGCCCTTTAAGCGTCGGGCCTCACTGGCTCCTAAATGGCTGAAGAAAAAGCTATTTTGGGAGCCGATTTCCCGCTCTTAACGTAATTTATATGGACCGGGTGGGGCCCACACAGTAGGTGGGCGTGGACTAAATTTTTTCAGTGCTTATGCTGCGCATAACGGGATAAACCCATCAGCGACAGCCTTAAAGGGCTACGCTTATACTCATAGAATCTGGGGTTACAGTATGT